GCTGTTATAAAAATGGAAATATAAATGAATTCAGTAATAATGTCTCAAATTACAATATTATATCCTTATCATTATGGCATAAACAACCATCTCAGTAAACAGGGTCAAGATAACGTATAAATGTTAAGATAAGTAAACATCAAATAAGAATCAATATAAAATTTAAAAAATAAATTCTATGTTGGATATTTTCTATCAAATTTTTTATTGGTGACACTGAATAATTGGAATATGATGACCTACATATCCATGACATGGAGGCCTTGATATGCTGTTTTTTTGAGATAGCGTAATTAGAAATAAAGAGCAAACAGAAACAGAAAATTGTCTGAGATAATCAATGTGTCAACATTCTATAGCCTAGTCGAAAACAAAACAAAAAAAATTGAATTGAAAACTCAATGCTATAAAATACCTTTATAAAACCAAAATTGGGGATTTTCTGTTTTGTTTTGTTTTGTTTTGTTTTTTCCCAAGGAGAAAAAATCTGATCCTTCTAAGTATAGCCTCCTTTTCCCTTAGGAGTCATATCCATTCTATGTCTTTGCAATAACTCACACATGCACATACACATAGACACACAAACACACACAAACACAGCCATATCCATTGCAAACCTCTCATCCCACTGGAAAACAAAGAAAAAATTGGAGTCTGACTTAAAACTTTGTGCTGGCATCATGAGAATAGAAAGTGACCTGTCTTAAACTTATTTTTTAAATGTGCATTTCCACAAGTTGTTATATATGCTATTTCAACAGATCTTTCGCCCTCCAATTTGTATTCCTCACTTTACCTTAAAAACATATCTTAATAATAAACAGTGAAGGATATTATCCAGAGAGACAAAAGTGGACACTTTTAATACATTACTTCAGATGTTTAAGTTAGTGTTTCTCTATGGACTCTGAATACTCAAGTTGCATGAGTCACATACATGAAGCAAATAAGATCAAAGGGAAAGAAAATATCTCAATGTACAGCCTGATCCATGATGGAAAATACACTTTGATGATGCTGACAATTCCTGAAGCTCCATGAATGCTAATTGAATTGAATTTGGATAAATACTTTTTTTAGATTTTTAATTTCTTCTAATGTAACTTTGGTAAAAAGTGTTTTTATGAGTTTTTTTCATTTTATCTGGTTTTGCAACTTCATTGCGTATAGATATTTAGAATATACTTTTATTAATTTTAAAACAGCTACAGATCTGCAAAAAGAAACATATTTTCTTGCTTAATATTGTTAAGAAATTATTCCTTTTTCGCTTCTTTATTATTTTTGGATTTGGGAGAATTGCATTGTACCTATAGATCAATCTGGAAATAGTAAACTTTTTACAATATAAAATCTATCAATCCAGGACATGGTTTATTCCTCCAGTTACTCAAGCGTCACTCAATTTCTTTCAATAACATTTTATAATTAGCAATGTAGATGACTTTCATATCTTACATTAGATTATTTGTAAGGTTTTAATGTTCTTAAGGTTTTAAATAGAATATTACCATTCATAATCTTATTTTGGTTACTGGTATTTACACATACTATTATTTTTTTGTACAGAAACCTGGTTGAATTTACTTATTAATTCTAATAAGTATACTGGTTATTTTTAGATTTTCAACATATACAATCATTTGCCTATGAATAATGATAGTATTTTATTTCTATATTTTGTGGATCCCATTTTGTTATCTCTGGCTTGACCTCATTTCTGTTAAGAAATCAGTTGTCAGTCTTGATGAAGTGCTTTAAAAATAATTTTTAAAAAATATTTCTCTTGAATTTTTTATTTGTATGAGTAATATTTGGTATTTCTAGTGCTTACGGAATCCATGGTTTTATGTCCTTCAATTTCTGGATGATTTTTGGTCATTATCTTATTAAGCATTTATTTATCCGCTCTGTCTCCTTTTCTGAGACTTCGAGTAATTGAATGTTCAATCTTTTCACCATGTTCCATATTATCTCTAGGAGCTTTCCTATATTTTCTGTTTGTGCTGAAGCTTGATTATTTCAATCTTATTTATCTTTTAGTTTTCTAACCATTGAGTTATCTTCAGCTCATTTAATCTGTTGTTTTACTCATTTACTGAATTCTTATCTTTACTGTATTTTTCAGTTCTAGAATGTCACTTAATTTTATGGTTTTAAATTATCTGTAAAAATTTGTATTATTATTTAACTTCTTAAATATTATAATCTCAATAATTTAAAATATCTATCTGATTATGTCAATACTTGGATTTTGTGTAGGGTTTGTTTTCCATTTTCTTTCCTTTTTCTGTTTGTTATATATAGTTTCACTTTCTAATATGCCTGATAAATTATGATGAATACTGGACATTTCTTGTGAAAATGGAAATGAGAAGTAACATAAATTCTGCTTGATAGTATCTTTCCACAAAAAGTATTTACTTTCTCTTGTGTTCAACAATTAGGGTAGCTATAGTTCATAGAGATTAGAGATTGAGATATCCACAGATAGTTTAAATATTATTGAGAAGTACGCTATGTGGTTCACCCTTAGTTCAAAGCCACAGATCTCTGTGTAATTCAGTTGAAAACCTTTTCTCCCCATCAAAGATGGGGAAGGGACAGAGAGAAAATGTTTCCTGATGAGTGAAAGTGCTTAGTCTCACAGGCAAATCTTTATGCTCAACCTCTCACAACTGCTGTCTCCTACCACTTTAGAATCAGAAGTTGCCTCAACAAAAATCTTGAATCAGGTTCACTTTTCTGTACTTCCCTCTGAGTTTTTGGCTCCTCTAGTGTTCTCTAAATTGGTAATATTTTGTTATAAGCTACATATCTTTTCAGGAAGAGAGATGCACTGCAACAAGATAATTCAGAATTAGTGGAATAGAAAATGTGAGACTAAGTCTCAGAATCCATGATGTCTGTAAAAAGTGTCTATATGAAAAGGAAATTTTAGCAAAACCCACAGCAAAAAGGAATGTAAAAACACTTCTTATGAAAGAAAAATGCAGGATATGGAAAAACTATTCATCAGAATGTTGACTAACTAATTAATATAACAAAAATAATCAGAATGTCTGTGTTAGTTAAAAATCTACTGGCTAGATGGATTTCTCTCATTCTATTCTACTCAATAATTGTTCATTTTAAGTCTACTTAATATCAATAACATAAAACAATAGGTCTCACTAGAAAATTTTAGCTTACAATTTATTCAATAATTATGAGAGTATAAGTAGGTTTTATTAATAACAATTATAGCAATACATAAGCAAGGTAAAGGTACTGACCAGTTGTTCCTGATGAAGGCTGTCTTCCTGGTTTACCTTCGCATTCACACGTGGCTTTTCCTCTGTGTTTGTATAGAGAAAGAGAGAGAGAGAGAGAGAGAAAGTGTGAGCTCTCATGTCTCTTTTATAAGAACATCCTATCAGATGAATGCCCTACCCTTATGATCTACTTAATTTTAATTATAATATTATAAGCCCTGTCTCCAAACATAGTCACATTGGAGGTTAGGCTTTCACATATAAATTTTGGGGGAACATAATTTAGTCCATAGCAAAATACTCCTATTAATAGGTATATATACTTTCAGCAACTAATAAATGACTCATGGAATATGGTATAGAGGAAAATAATGAATACAAGACCTATTTTCAAAGCTTAAGGGAAATAAAAATCCCTAATCTTGAATTCATGCTTAAAAAGTGATTTTACCAACCTCTGACAAGCAAACATTACTCTCTCTCTATATATACATATATATACACACACAATGATGTATATATTGATGTATATATAATGAAATATATATAATGAAATGATGATTTGGTGCTTCCAGCAACAGCAAGTGATTTAGACAGTGAGTCTGTAATACTTTAAATTTACCTTTTGACCGGTTTCACTACCCAAACATAAATAGGGCATGCTGCCCTGGAGCAGTGTTACTTGCTTTTGATTCTGTAAACTTTTGATGCTATAATTCTTGGATACAAGGTCAAGAAACTAAGAGGTCCTCTGAGCCTTTCTAGATCATTGCCTTTTTCTTCAGGAACAGGGCTTTAATTTCTGATCAATTCAGTTCAGACACAATGACCCCTTTGAGATGTAACTCATGTTCCCCTCTAGTTTTGTTCAGTGTTTGGTTATGTTCTTCTTCAGACTATGCTAGAGTAGGAATCTTTCCATCAGGAGCTAAGCCGATGACATATGGGGAATCAAAACCCAAGATGATATTCCTTCCTTGTGAATATAAGCATAGCTTCCTAATATGGAGCATCAGAAAGAGTAGTCGGCAGAGGGTACAGTTTTATTTACATGACAGTTTCTAAAAGATATGCTAGAATTTCATCTAGGAATCATATTCAGTGAATTTTATTGGCAAAAATAAAAGGATTATAAGAAGGCATAAATATCGTTAGAAAAAAGAAACCATTAAAAACAGTTGATGAAAATCAAGGTATTGAAAATGATACTTTTATGACCCTGGCAGAGTTAAAGTCTGGTTAGCAGGTCCCTGTGAATCAGAGCTCATAACACAAAAGCTTTCCCATGGCAGGGACAAGCTTCAGTTTTAAGAGCACAGACAATTCAAAAGGTTTCTAATTTTCATTTGTGGAGCTGACAAAGCATTCTGTTTCTTAACTGGAAAAGCCTTGAGCCTGAGTTTTTAGTTTTTGCATATTTTGTATGTGTTGTTTTCCCCATCATTCTTAACCCACTCACATCAGATGAATATCTCAATATGAAGGGAAAAAATTGATACGTTTATAGTACAAATTATATCACATAATTAACACAAAAGAAGCCTTAGTCATGAGTGGGAGATGAATTGAGCCATAATAGTGTGGTGAGTGCTTCTAATTTGATGCTGTGTTGGCATTGATTTTGAAGCAGGTTTAGCTTTCTAGTGCCAAAAGCAGAATTCAGTTACCCTTGACACAGTTTCCACTTCTACATCATACCCAAAAGGATCAAGCTGGTGGCCAGAGATAAGAGCATGGAGACATCTGTCCCACCTGGCTGACTGCATTCTCCACTGTTCCTGCTGTGTACATCCCAGGGTCTGTAAGTGCTAAAAACTCTTAACTTTTCATGGTATGGTTGTGTCACTGAAGGCTGTCAATGATCTCTATTATTGACTCCTGACAGCAAAGCTACCCAAAGAAACCATGCAGGTGTTTTCTTGTCTAGGTCTCTGGTGTTTTCGGGGGGACAGTAGCTACCAGGTAAGTTGATGAGAAAAACTCAAAGAGTTTCATTTAAAACTAATATATAGCGATGTAAAAAGTGTTATTTAGAATCCTGATAAACCTTTTTTTTCTTGGGTAATGTTATGGTTTTTATAAATATACACATATCTAAAATAATGATAGAAGTTAAGAATATAGGATATTATTTGAAAATTCATGAACCATGTTTGGACTGCTTTTTGTAAACTACGATACAGGAAATTAGCCCATGTCATGCACAATAATCCTCTCATATGCCTTTTTTTTTTTTTTTTTACTTCCTAAACTAGATATTTCTGCAAAACACTGAAATGCTATTTGGTTATATACTTTATTGTGAAGACTTTAATTTTCATATTATGGTATGATTAAAGTATGTGTCCACTTTTAAGAGCTCAAAGAAATTAATATAAATACATTTAATAATATATAGCATATAAATATGATGAATCATGGCTTTAGTTTTGTTGGCTTATGCAGTTTGTATCTAATATCCATTCACTGTTCTAGTATACATCCAGGATACTATGTTACATTTATTTGTCATGGCTCTTTGGGCTTCAATTATTGTTGCAGTTTCTCATACTTTTCTTGTTTTTGATTATCTTGACAGTTTTAAGGAGTACTGGTCAAGTGTTTTATAAGACGACCCTCTACTGGAACTTGTCTGAGGTTGTTTTTCATGATTAGATTGGGGGCATGGGTTTTTGGTAGGAATATTATCACAAGGTAAAGAGCCATGTTCATCACATTATATCAAGACTACATGCTGCCAACATGATTATCACGGTTGATAGTGGCCATTGTCACCTGACTGAGGTATTGTTTGTCAGGTTTCTCCATGCCGAAGTTACTATTTTCCCCGATTTCCATGCTGTACTCTGGAAGAACTCACTATGTGTAGCTAGCTTATGCTTAACCTCTCTCCTTGAGGATGAAGTGTCCACATAAATTATTTGGAGCCCTTCTGTAAGAGATATTTATCTGTTCTTCATTAATTCATTTATTCAATCATGTATTTATGTTACTATGAGCTCATGGATATTTGTTTTGAGTTTGGATTATAACTCCAATACTATTTATTTTATTGTTCAAATGTATCCAGCTTTCATCACTGACAGCTCTCCCAGTTGTCTTCTGTGTTCCTTTAGTATAACCCCATCAGTTTAGGCTTTTTCTTTTCCCTGTACTTAATTTCTGGAGCTACAAGATGCTCCAGGCTCATCTTGTATATTCTCTCACCCTGTCCTAGATTCAGCTATTTCTCTGAGGATCTCTGCTTCCTTTTATTGGAGAATAGTATTAGAAACCAAGATCTGGGTAGTAGGTATGCTTTTTTTGCTAGTGGGATGTTATTGCTTATAGACTTTCTGAACTAACAGATCAAGATCGTTTATGTGTTTATACTGGCCAATGTATACACACATATGTATAAATATTTCCATGTGTAAACATAGGCTCCTATACTAAGCTACTCATGAGTTTATACTGATGGCTCTAACCCTAATCTATCACCATGTGTATCATTCTAGACTCTTCCCTTGAATCTATATTCCCACTGTAAACATGAGAAACCTGACTTGTACCATTTATCATTCATTCAATTAAGTGTTCAATTCCAGTATTTTTGTTTACTGATATCGAAATTTTTACCCCTACTACTGTGGGACGTAACATTATCGACTAAAGCGTAGTGATTATGTTTTCCCTTTAACCTCATAGACTCCTTTCATTTCCCAAATTACTTATGTAAGCACCTTTTAATTTTACCCTTTTTACTGAGGTTGTTAAATACATGTCTAATACAGTTAGATACCCCTGTCACTGTCTGCACATTTTCCTGAGATCAGCAACCTCCTAAATGAGCTGTTCCTTAATTTGCATATACTAAGGTTCACTTTTAGTACTGTGAATTTCTATGGGTTTGAAGAATGTAGGGTGGTGTTGTCTGTCTTTGCCGCCATGGCAATACAAAATAGTCTTACTGTCCTAAAATCCTCTTGTGGTGTTTTTAACCTTTAGTCTTCCTTTCTGATTCTCCTTTGTTACATCAATTAACACCGAGTGGCCCACCTCTCATAGTTTTGGTCACGTGACTAACAGCACACAGCTGCGGGCATAAGACCTTTTAAATGTGTCTCTTTTCGTCTTCAACAATATGTGGAATAAAATGGAAATTTAAACTTTTAAAAATTTATTCTCTCTCTCTCCTACATCAGACTTATCAGTTTCAAGAGACTTTTAGGAATGCAAAAATATAACTATAATTTTCACTTTATTAGAATATCAATGATATATTCGTGTAACAACTTTTATTCCCAACATCACTGTGTTCTAGTAACTTAAAAATGACAAATATTTCTTAAATTATTAGGAATTTCC